ATATCAAACTAGTGTTAGGAGATCTTAGCACATTATAAGATTGTGCTAGAATCGAATTATCACATGTACTAAAAAGTTGTAATTGTGTACAGTATTCATTATAGCTTCTGGAGAGTGTACTAAAACTGAATCAAAAAGGTATTCGAAATTCTAATATGAAAGATAATATTCTACTTAACTAATACTGAAAATATAAATATAATTAAAAATCCCATAATTCAAAATGTATTAAATTAGAACTAAATATATAGTAATACATCTCATAGCCATAATATAATATATTTTTATGATTAAAAATTCTAGGTTACTAATAAAGCAACGAAACTAAGTAAATATTGTGAAAGTGTACTAAAATATTATTACTAAAAAAATGTACTAAAAAGTACAATATGTATATTTTAAATTTTTAATAAATAGTGCGCATTTAAGAAAACAATTTCATTAGCATATACACAATGTACTAAAATAGTACTAAAGTGTACGTAAACTTAGTACTAAAAAATTTAGTAAACAGAACTAAAAGAAGCCGAAAAATGACATAAACGCAAAATTAGAAAATAACAAATATATTGTAAGAAAAAAGTTCAATTAGCATTTGCAGTACTTTATTTTTAAATTTTATTCAGTTGTGTCAAAATTGTACTAATTAATAAAGTTATTCATAAATGCAGCGAGTTTTGGTCGAATTGTAGTTATTTGCTTGATATGAAATTATACACTACCTAACACACTCAAAACTTATTGTGGATTAAACATTTGCCGCAAAATTATACTAAAATTGGTACTAAAAAGAGGTTGAATTCTTGAAGAAAAAATGAAATGGTGGAATAAAATATTTTTTTTTATTAAAAAAAAATTTGTTTCATGTTGCTTTGATCTAAAATTGTTATTTATTTAATAAAAGTAAAAAAAAAATAAATAAATCCACTTAATCCTGAATAACCAATACGCCAGTAAACCATTAGTAAATTAGCTGTCAATGGCAAAAATGCAATTCTCACACTTTGACACTTTTGCGAATACCAAATGCAATTTTTACACCACAAAAATGGAATGCAAGCGAATGAGGAGTAAACACGCAAACTCCACTCGAAACCACAAAAAGCAGACACTATACGGGGAAGCACAAACTGGAGGGGCTAGCAGAGTGAGCAATGCGTCGAAAAAATGCAAAGAAATGCAAAGGAGCGTGGAAAATGAAAATTTGAATGAGTTCACTTTACGCCGCACACATGCGCCGGTACTTGAAGTACGAAACTTATAATTAAATTTAATTATAACTTCGCTTGGGAAAAGGAAAAGCGAAAAATATAAGTGAACCTACGAAGAAAGTGTGCAGCGAGTGCCTGTACAATAACCGCATTGAGATTAAGAAAGGGTGTAAAGACAGCATAGCACAGCACTTTCTTACATAAACTTCCTTTTTTTACTAGACTAATACTTTTTACTACCAATTTTAATGCATTTGCTTCTTCTACTACTCTTTTTTTTACTGGCTGCCGCAAAGAAGTTTTCAATTTGTATAAAAGCCAGAAAATAAAATAGTGAAAAAACGCTTGTAAGAAATCGCTTGCAACTCCTTAAAAGTTACGTACCTTTCTTGCTTTATTTTGAGCTGAAAAGCGGTGCGAAAAAAGTTACGGTGTTAGCAGCGCGTGTAAATGTTATGTAAATAGGAGTTTTGCTGTTGAACTGAAATCGAGCTGCAACCGCAGGAGCAGCGTATAAACCGAAAATGAATAATAAGGCAAAATATTGTGCTGCTCCTACTATTACTTACACACTCACTTCTATTACTTTACTTCATTCCCTTGCATAACTTTTACAGCTGCTTTTCTCATTCATTTTCTTCAGCTCAAAATCATGCGCTTAATGTCAGCGAGTAAATCGGAAATGTTCTATGCACTCTCGACTCTAACGCAATATCGGTGAGAGGTTGGAAAAGTGGTAAGGAAAAATGAAACAAAAAGTGCGGTTTTTTCTACGAACTCCCTTTGTGTGCAGCGCTGTATGTAAATATGCCCCACTACTGCAGCTAAATTTCACTGCTCAGTGCACTTTACGCAAATTGCATTGCTCACTGCCATTCATGGCGTTGAACTGCCGGATTTTCGTACCAGAAAAGCATTAAAATATAATAACAGAAACAAGCGCAATTTCCAATTCAAATGCAACCCTGTTAAAAATATTATAACACAGGCAAGAAAAACGATTTTCTTAAAATAAAAATAAAAAAAAAAAAAAATCAAGTAAAATAAAATAAAATTAAATAAAATAAAATAAAACAAAATAAAATAAAATACAATAAACTAAAATAAAATAAAATAAAATAAAATAAAATAAAATAAAATAAAATAAAATAAAATAAAATTAAATAAAATAAAACAAGATAAAATAAAAGAAAAATGAAATAAGACAATATATAATAAATTGAAATTATTTGATTTAAATGAAATGGTTGAATGTAATTTTATATATTTCGAACAGAGGAGCTTAAGAGAGATTATCGATTTCCTGCGTCCGAGCGAGTTGGCTGTCAATCAATCCTATTGAACTTAACTCCTTTGACTGCGGACTACTTCATGTCTTAGTTTATTGTATTTTCACCAACAATTAATTATACACTCGTGCGATATACTGATTGTTTTGAACAGCAAAGAGTTTACATTTCACTGAGTTTTGCGGAAGAAGTCGCTAATGTTTGCCAGCCATAAACATATATGTATTTTAATATGTATATGTATGATAGAATGTGTGCAGCCACATATATTAAAATCGCTTAGTGAAGATTAATGATCACATCTTATTCACGGAATTTGCATTAACATATCAACTTTGCGGCGTTTTAACTCCAAGACTCGAGCATCGAACCGAACCATTTATGTATGTATGTATATGTATGAGTAAGCGAACTTGCAAACATACTATATCCTCGCTTCTCTCGCTGTCCTGGCATATAGCCAGCCTTGAGCGTCTAGAATATAAACTCACTGCTGACTTTTCAGACAACTCGATAGACAGACGCACGGGGAACGCGTTGTGTCTAGCGAGTCAACCAGGCGAACGGCCAACCATCACTCACTGCTAACCCAATTTACTGGCAGAACGTGTTGCGTTGTTGTAGTGTATCATTAAAGCAAACATCATTTATTTGCCTTAATTTGAACGGCAAAAGCTGATGGGACTGAGGGAAAAACGAGGGGCGTCTAACTGAATTATTCTATATTTTTTTTTGGTTGCACGCGCGCATTAGCGCAAAATGTCAAATATGACGGCTGCACTGACAGGCGCCAAGAAAAGCCGACAAGACAAAATACAAACGAATACAACCCACTCTAGCCACGAAAGAAAGAGGTAAGTAATGACAGACAGAGAGAGAGAGACAGGTATGAAAACGTTAATAATGAAACAAACTGTTTAAGTATGATATCGTGCGGCTCAATTTCTCACATCATATGGTTGGTCCGGAGACCATCATACGCTTTACTCAACCTTTTGAAGGCAGTTCCGAGAATGACGGGTCCTAGATAAATTTGTCCTCCCTTATGGTCACTCTTTTCTTCTTCTGAGTCATAGCATAGGCTAGCAGACCAGCGCACGTGGAAGTAATTAGTACTTACATGTCATATTTACATTTTCATGTACACATGCACACCTATTTAAGTAAATACAACTGTTTTCGGCACTACAAAGCATAATATTTAATCAGATATTGAATGTCCATATTTATATCATTATAAAGTCACGTTAGCTAAAAAAAGAGCCTACACAATTTTTTTCTATTGAAAATTTATTAAGTATTCGAGTATTCGAGTATACCTAATAACAAAATAAGATATCAAAATTAAAATTAATTTAAAACAAAATTATATAAAAGTAAAAATTAAATTAAAAAATAAAAAAATTAATTAAAATAAAACAAAGTGTATAACAAAGAAAAATAACAAAATTAAATACAATAAAATAAACCAATATCAATGAAGTAAAATAATTAAAATGAAAGAAAATCTAAGTAATGTAAGATTAAGTAAAATAAAAAAATGAAATTCAACTAGATTTAACAAAACAAAATAAAGTAAAATAAAAATAAATTAAACTAAATGACACAAAATAAGAAAAAATAAATTTAAAAAAAAAAAATAAAATAAAAAAATAAAATGGTATAAAATATAATGTAATAAAACAAATAAAAATAAAAGGATTAAAATAAAATAAAACAAATTTAAATAAAATATAATGAAATTAAATAAAATTAAAAAAAAATAAAATAATTTGAAAAGAAACTAAATAAGTTTAAATAATATAAATTAAAATAAAATTAAAATAAAATAAAAAAAATTTAAAAAAATAAAGTAAAAACATTAAATAAACAAAGTAAATTAAAAAAAAATAAAACAATAAAAAAATAAAATAAAGTGAAATAAAATAAAGTTAATTTAAATAAAAAAAAAAATAAAAAATAAATAGAGATAATATAAAAGCAATAAGAAGTAAAGGACAATAAAATAAAATTAAGAAAACAAAATAAGATGAAATGAAGTAAAATAAATTAAAATAAAATAAAAAGAAATTAAATAAAAGTAAAAAGAAATAAAGTAAGAAAAGTAAAATAAAATAATGAAATGAAAGGAGTAAATTAATATACGATTTCATTTAATAATATAAAAGACAACAAAAATTAAATCAAAGTGTAATATCATTTTCAAACATTTTTACCTTATTTAGTGATCGATTTTTTATTTAATTTTATTATAATGATTTGATTTTTTTTTTTTTGCAAAGCACACGCTTTCTAACTCACGAGACTCTATGGTGATTTTTCAGAATTTGCATACCTTCAGCACTTCTGAAAGATTATCGTAACAAAAAATTAATGTATATTTGTTGGATGGAATGTCATTTCCATGTCATTCCTTTATCTTTGATCTTAGCCAAGCTAATCATAAAGCTATAAATACTACGCGTGTTTGGAACTAGACATTGTTTCCGAAAGTAGTTAACAGAACACACCAAATAATAATATTAATAAAAATGAACCTCGCCTTAAGTGCAGTTTTCATTGTTGCTTGTGCGCTCAGTGGATGCACGAAGGTAATATTATTTCCATAAAAAATGTATACCAAATATATCCAAAATCTTACAGGCCGAGCAACCTTACACAGTGAAAAATGAGGGCTTCGAGCATTTCGATGGAATGAAAGAAACTGCTTTCCAGTTGGGTGAGATGAAAATTATCGGACGTCAGCGGTACATCAATGGCACTGTGAAATTCGTCGAGGATATGGCTAGCGATCATTTTAAATTCCAAATTGAACTCTTCTCCTCACCACAAGGTGATGATCAATTCAAACGTTTGCCTATGGGTGTGCCACGTACCACCATTTGTGAGGGTTTAAAGGATTTATATACGAAAGTATTGCAACCGTCATTTGTCGAAGGTGAAAATACGAATTTTCCTTTTGTGCCCGAAGAGGGTTTGTGTCCCATACCGAAGGGTGAATATTATATAAAGAATTTGGAATTCGATACGGACTCTTGGCCAAATCAAATACCAAGGGGTCTGTTAAAGGCGCAGTTGACTTTCTTCAAAGATGAACTCAATGTTGGTGGTGGAGCGCTACTCATGCGTGTTGAGGATCGCGAGTAGAGTGTATAAAATATTGGCGTTGACCTTGTATTGAGTTTGAAGTTTAATATCAATAAAAATAGTAAGAACTAAAATAAAAATATTCGCAGTATAAAAAGCTTTTTTTAATTCGTATTATTTTTTAATAATTTTGACTTGACTAAGCGAATTCCTAATAATTGAGATAGTAATTGAATTGGAGAGAACATAAAACCATGAACAATGAAAATATATTCCCATTAAATCATCTGGAAATATAGAGAGAGAGCTCGTGATTTCTACCACACTTTCTAAGCTAATTTCTATGATGATTTTAGGCTTCCGTAATTCGAGTGGATTGAACATCTCAAAGGTGTGTGATCTAAGAGAAGCTACATTAGATTGAATAAAAGTACTTCAAATGCTCTTTCACATTCTGCATTCAATAATTTGAAGACCTCTGGAAAACGACTTTCAGGGAAAAGTGTTGATGAAGATGTTTTCTGACCTTATCTATGAACCTAAAGCCATACTAAAGCCTCTGATTTATTGACTTATAATTGGGAGTAAAGCATTTGGTCTCTTAGTGCGTTGTTGTTGTTGTTGGTGGCAAAAACTTTCCATAAAGTAGTTTTCGCAGAAAAATTAGCTAAATGAAAATATGGGTCCTTCCGATATGAAAACCCGACAGCCGCGGGATCTTTTAGATTTTAGTCACCGCTGACGACAGGAAAGGTTTACAGCAGAGAAATTCTTGAACCCTTACCACGCAGGGAGCGTTAAAGATCATCGCTTAAACTGGATCCTAACTGAATTTATTGATTTTTATCTATCAGTAAGCTAACCGCAGTTTTTATTTCGCCAAAGAAATCTGCGACTTTTTTAATAAGCGGATTCGGCGCGTTCTTCGTGGAGGTAATTATCGTAAATTAAGACAGAAGAACCAGGATGCTATTTTAGGCAAAACTCCACTATTCTATTTGAAGAAATCTCAACTTATTGATGATACTCAGAATGAGGCTCTTATGCGAGAGCGCTGAGGCAAAGCCAACACACCAAATACAGACAAAACTGCTCACCGTTCTCTGAAATAATTGTAGCATTTCCATAATTTTGTTTAACTAAGGGAATAGGCTACATAAGTCAGTTACTTCTTTGAATTGCATAACTGCAAGTTTCAACAAAAACCAGAATTGAATGATTGAATAGATGCTTATTATTTTTATCAGCTCCAACAAGAACATAAGAATCTAGGGAACGGAAGAAATTGTCACCACTAAAATAATAATACCACCTGCAAATTATTTTATTTTAAGCTAATATCCTTAAGTAGAGAATTTTTAAGTGGTTCAGATATTTGGCTTGACAATTTCCTTAACACTTGCACTTCAGGGGGAATGCTTTCAAAGACTTACTCTCACACTGTTACCAAAACTCAGTGCTGGTAAAAATTTTGTCGTCAGATGTCGCTATGCATTGGGCAAGTTCAAATGAACGTTCATTCACTTAATTACTATATAATTATATTATAATTGAGAGGTAATTTCATAAAGGTGATTTCACGTATTTTAATTAGTAACATTTTAACACCTTGTTTCGGCCACTTTAATGCCATAGTAGGGGAGAACTGACCAATTTGCGCTCCACCATTTTCATGTTATTCCAATATCATTGATTTTACTTTAACTTAAATTTACCTATAAAATGTCAAAATTTCCATTAAATTTTTATTAGTTTCCAAAAATTATAACTAGCAAAGTTTCATGTTACGCATTCTTCCGTGCGGGATGCAGTTTTACAAAAGCAATATTTTCCTCGTTGCCTGGTTGGTGTTGGCTGCGTATTGTTTGGTGAGTAGAAATTTCGATAAATGAACGAACCGCAAACTGCATTCTATAAACTGGCATTGCTGTGAAAAAAACTTTTTCAAAGTATACCTCAGAGCAACTCCCACGACAACCAGTTCTACGCTCCGACTTATTTTAATCAGGGCTGGCGTCGAACTCAAACCGTAGGACGACGTAATATTTGTACTGCGACTACACCATTTCTCCACTGCGGTATGATGTAGCATTTCATTAATTGGAGTCATCTTAAGCCCTGCTTAGGCCTTAATACACATCGGGAGTGGTCCATGCGTTAGGCGGTGCCATATTGCTTTCACAGCAGCGCCTATACCCACTCTGGGTAAATACTGGCAGATCTTTACGGTCCCAAAAAGCGCTCCGCAGCTTGAAAAGTTCGGGCTACCTTAAGATTTTCCCGCTCACGCTCTCTCTATCTGTCTCTATTTCGAACCCGTCGAAACAGCTTGTTCTTTAGACCGATAGATGATTACGAGACTAGTGAACCGCTGCTACAAACAGCAAACAACACAGAAAATAATTCCTTTAAATAACATCTTTCTCCTCTTTCAGGCCGAGCAATCATATGAAATAATAAATGAGCGCATGGAAAGTTATCCTGGTTTGCAGGAGACTAGAGTTATTGCAGATAACTTGAAGATTGTCGGTCGTGAGCGTTCCATGAATGGAACATTGATATTTCTCGACGATTGTGACAATGAGCACTATAAGTTTGATATAAAACTATACTCGGATCCCAATGATGATGGTAACTTCAAACTTTTACCGATGGGTGTACCACGCATGCCTATGTGTGATGGTCTTAGAACTTACTATGTACAAGTCGTACAACCCTCACTCACGTATGGTGTAAACACTAATTTGCCTCATATACCTGCTGAAGGTTTGTGTCCGCTACCAAAAGATGAATATTATTTAAAGAATTTGCTTCTGGATACCGATACGTGGCCGAATCAGATACCAAGAGGTCTTTTGAAAGCGAAAATGACAATTTTTAAAGATGATATTGATGTTGGCGCAGGTGCATTGGTAATGAAAATCACCGATCCCAAATGATGGATACTGCCAAATGTATGGAGAAAAGATGATTTGTAATAAAAATTATGTGTCCAAAAGCACATTTTAAAATTTATTATTTAATTTATTTTTACTTATCGTCAGAGTTTTGAATTATTTTAGGTAGCGCTAAGAGAAAAATTCAACAAATTTTAACAATTGTACGACAAGGATTTTGAATGAAGCATTTGTACGATTGACTTTTATTCGGCGCCTGATGAGTTAGCTCTTTTAGCGATGATTATAGGCGAAGAATAGAGAATGGTTGTTGTGTTTATATAAACAGTTATGGTTTTGACGTCTGTTTTTTAAATTTATTTAATTTCATAGGTCACAGATACTGGAAGTTTAATTCAATATTGAATATTTTCAATTCCAGAATGTAAAATTTTTAAAGACATTTCTCATAATATACTTGAGAAGGTATTTAAACCGATGTTTGTCAAGAATGATGCTGCAGATTATAATTTTTTGGCTTGGCTGTTTCAGATCAACTTATTTCTGTGAGATTTTTGCACAACCGGCCGTTTTCGTAGGAGTTCTTGCTCAAGAAAGTCAAGCTTTTATCTTCAGCGGCATATTTTTAATCAAACCTTGTTTTTAATCTTGTGCTATTATATAAATTTCGCTCGATTTACTTTTCTTCTTTGTCCGATCTCTTAGCTTGTCGTACGAAAATTTTTAAAAGGGAACTGACCTAAACACTTATGTCTACTTAAACAGTTATTACTATCGAGCATTATTTTCGAAGTTTTGAACAAGTGTATCTCGATAACCTTTCACTACAGAGCATTTTCGTACTTTTCATATATTTTTTCGAGATTTAGACTATTTTTCAGTTGATTTAGATTTTTATTTACATAAATGTTCTGGTTTTTTTTTATAAGCACCCTGTAGGGATAGGCATGTCTTGTTGAGATTTTAGAGATAGGAAACCATTACTTGTTTATTTGCATGTTTTACATTATCAGTGATTTTTGATTCTGAAAAAGTATGTTATAAATACCACTGCAGCTTACATCTCCTCAAATACTAAGTCCAATATTAAATAATTGCATTTCAGGCGAAATGAAATTCTATTTAAAAAATTGTTTACTAATCTTTTGCATGCTTTGCAGTCTTTCAGAGGTAATTTCACTAAATTTTTTAATTTAATTCAGAGGAAAAAACATATTCTCTTACATTGCAGACTGAACAATCGACATATGTCGTTACAAATGAACGTTTCGAACATTACCCAGGTCTCAGGGAGACCATCTTCTCTTTAGCTGAAATGAAAGTTATCGGACGTCAGCGCTATATTAATGGTACTATGAAAATCGGCGAAGATATGGCTAGTGATCAATTTAAATTTCAAATAGAACTTTACTCTGCGCCCAATGGTGATGATCAATTCAAACTTCTACCCATGGGTATAGCACGGACGGCTATTTGTGAAGGTCTCAAAACATATTTTGCACAAATTTTACAACCTTCGCTCATACATGGCGAAAACACGAACTTTCCTTATGTACCCGAAGAGGGTTTGTGTCCCATACCGAAGGGTGAATATTTTATGAGGAATTTATTATTTGATACTTCAACGTGGCCAAATCAGATACCGAGGGGTCTGCTGAAGGCGAAGATGTTAATTTTCAAGAATGAGCTCAATGTTGGTGCTGGTGCGTTGGTGATGCGTGTAGAGGATTCTGAGTGAAGAGAGTTTATAAAATCATTAAAATTGTGAGCGTTGACATTAAGTTCAAAATAAAATTGCTCTGCGAAATTGCATTTCTGACTCTCTTTTATCTATTTTGTGGGGACTATCTCTATAAGGTTTTCAGAGACACTGGTATCTCTAAATGAAATATCTCTATGTTGCGCTCGGAAGAGGTTTGAAAAAATAATTGTGAAATGGCGAGACCCTTTCATCTATTGCTCAACACAATATCTATGGCACGGGAAGCAATACTTTCATGATTAATATTTTTATTTGGTATTATATTATATTTAATTTTTATTAAATTTAAGCATGCGTTATTTTTTATACATTATCATTTTATTCAGTTTTATTTATATACATTCAATTTAAATTTAATTACATTTTTTATATAGGTTTAATTAAATGAAATTTGTTTTCTTCTATTTATCCTCATTTAATCTTATTTCAATTTTTTTATTTAATTTTATTTTACTTTATTTCATTTCATTTCATTTTATTTTATTTTATTTTATAATATTTAATTTTATTTATTTTAATTTATTTTATTTTATTTTATTTTNTTTTATTTTATTTTATTTTATTAATTTATTGTTTATTTTTTTTTTAATAAATGAAGTGTGTATTTTATTTTATTTTATCTGACTTTATTTTATTTTATTTTAAATTTTTTCATTTTATTTCATTTTGTTTTTTTTTTTATTTGATTTTGTTAGTATTTGTCATTGTGTTTTTTTATTTAATTTTATTTTATTTTAATTAATTTTAATATGATTTAATTTTATTTTACGGATTTTTCTGTTTTTAGAATTTAGTTTAATTTAATTTAATTTAAATTGATTTATGTTAATTTAAATTTGTTTTATTTTATTGTTTTTTTTTTAATTTTGTTCAATTTAATATAATTTTATTTGGTTGTTTTTACTTAATTTTCTGTTAACTTATTTCATTTTATTTTATACCTGTATAGTTTTATTTCTTTTTTTTTAATATTTTTTAGACCATTTGAAGTTTATATTGTGATTGGACATATAAAAAATATGCACCGATATTTTACAAAATTTTTTTAAAGTAATTAAAATTCTTACATGAATAGAAGCCATGTTTCAATATTATCAGCAATCTCTAACATGTTTGGCAGGAAATTGTAAAAGCTATATATACCACATGGGCTCAGCCACACGCATATTTATTCGTTAATATTTCGAGCTTTTCTATACCTCTCAGCATGAAATTCTGTGAAATTTCCATTGGTCTGATATCAGTTTGCATGCTATTCGGATTTGTGCAAGTAATTATTAAGAAAGACTTTCCTTTAAATTTCCTAAAATTTCCTTTTTTCCGCAGAGCGAGCAACCCTACATTGTAAAAAATGAAGGCTGGGAATATTTCAATGGTATCTTTGAGACCACATTCCATTTGGGTGAAATGAAAATTATCGGTCGCCAACGGTACATCAATGGCACAATAAAATTCACCGAAGATATGGCCAGTGATCATTTCTCCTTTCAAATAGAATTATATTCCTGTCCGCAAGGCGAAAAAAACTTCAAACTCCTGCCAATGGGTGTACCACGCACCCCCATCTGTGAAGGTCTCAAGGAGCTATTTCCAAAAGTACTGCAAGCATCATTTATTGAAGGTGAAAATACGAATTTCCCATTTGTGCCCGATGAGGGTTTGTGCCCCATACCGATGGGTGAATATTATATAAAAAATTTAGAATTCGATACGGACTCTTGGCCAAATCACATTATACGTGGTTTGTTGAAGGCGAAATTAACTTTTTTCAAGGATGCCATAAATGTTGGCGGTGGTGCGCTGATCATGCGTGTCGAAGATCGTGAATGAGAAGTGTGTGAGAGAAAGAGAGTAAAGTAAAGTTGCTTTTTCAATGTGTTTAATAAAGAAAATTGTCTAGAGGAATCAGTTTTTTTTTAATTTCGATTTCGATTTGTATGGCCTTTATACCATATTCATATTATATACTTGCCCTCTCTCTGTCTCTCTTTAAAAGTATTCAAACACATTTATGCTTTATACTATACAAAAACAACACCAAAAATTCTTCCTGTCAAAAACACAAAATACACTATTTGCTCTCAGTCACTCAGTCTTCAGTCGCTTAAGGAGAGTTTGATTTTTTTTCTTCGTGAATTGCCTGTCAAAGTGTACTGAAGTGACGTTGAATTCATTGTTAGCGCATGAATGAGCAAATGTTTATACTTTTATATATGTAAAAATAAATAATAACTAACTTTTGGCTTAAAATACGTATAGAAAGTCATTTTCTTAAGTACCAACTGTGAAAGCTGTTAGCCGAATAGTGTGAAGTGAGAACTTTCAGGCTGGAAAATGTAATGTATTTCTTTCCTGAAACTCCTCGCTTTGCGTTATGTTAAATTAAATATTTACCAGCAAATAATTTCACGCACATATTTACTCCTATATGCATGCACAACTTATATGTAGTATATACAAATTTAATATATACTTCGTTTTGTAAGCTTATTGCAAGTCTATTTGCACTTCAGCTTTTGCTATTGTTTGCATCATCAAGTGATTTTACTTGGCGCCATGGAAATCGACCTGCCAACTAAATCGTTGACATACTTACTCAGCCACATTCAAGTGCAAAATGAGGAATACAGATATAAATATGTGTAATACACTTTAAGAGCTTAAAGCTGTAAGCTAAAGTTTGTTTCCATTGGCATTTTAGGTTAAATTCCGGTTAAATTTGAGCTTAGAAGCTAAACTACCTAATTGAAAAACTTCAGTTTGTAACAGTTTAAATACGGGTTACAGTCCTATAATACCATGTTAGGATGCAGAATATTATAGAGGTTTCTTGTTCACTGTGTTTTAGGAAACACAAAAGATAAATTGGGTGTGAAGGCTCTCAGTTGTTTCTTTCTAAGTTTTCACTCTTAAGTCAAAAACCATTTTAAGCTTACTTTTCGTGTTCTCAAAAGCTATTAGTTCAAGCGCAATTAATGATGAAAGCTGCATGTAAGCTTTAAAGTTCTTTTACCTTAAAAAACATTTAGATAAAAGCTTATAAACCTTAAAATTATTAAGTCTGATTTTATATATATTTAAAGTTGAGTTATTTTGCTCTAGATTTTAAACATCCTCTAAAGCTTTAAATTTTAAACTTTTTGAAATTTGGGTATCTAAAATTTTGAGAGAGTGTACAGAATACGATATGAAATCATAGAATTCAATTAACGCTAATAATAAAGATTCCAAAAGCGAAACTAAGGTGGAACTTCGTTGCTTTTTTTTGGCTTTGAAGCTTTCACTTTAAAGTAAAAAGGTTTTATTTTAAGCCGAAATAATAATGATAAGTGAGTTTAAAAAAGCTTTGGTTCAAATCATTGCAAGTACCGAGTCCATCTTGAAAACTAATTAATGAATGTGTTTGCTTTTCAACACATTTAAATTTGTACCCGGACTGGAAGCTCTCTTTCTTTAAACTTTTTTTGAACCTAAACTCTTTGATTTTGAACTTTTGAAGCTTAAAATATTTAAGGCTTTGGAAGCCTTACACAGATTATAGTACTATTTCGCAAAATTCTATAATATAGATATACATAGTTTATTTAGTTTCAAAGTTCCGAGACTGGATTTTAGCAAAAATTCGCGAAAATAGAATTGAAGTATTTTTTGTATTTTACAAATAACGTGGAAAATAAAGCATCAGAGCATCAAGCATCTTTTGCATTAACAGTTTAAAGCTTTCAAAGCTTTACTACAAATTTTTCAAAGCATTTTGAGCTTTTTAAATGATTCATGAACTTTTTTTGTGCTTTTGTGATCGGCGTTATCTTTTCTGGCTTTTAAAAGTAATTCAGAAATCTGTAGAAAAAAAATTAAAGCATTTCTAAACTCACAGGTGAACACATAACTTTTCTGCATTTATTTATTTATTTTCTTTGTGCTTTTTATTTTTAACAAATTTATCTATTCACTTTATGACCACTTTGGTGAAATCCTTTTACAACTACTGCACAGCTACTTAAATAAAATAAATAAATAAACTTATATTATATGTTACAGCTCATTTTTTATTCTATTTCACGTAGCATAACTCTGCATCCAGCGCTAATGTGATGACATGATTAATGGCCGAGGAGATTTACGATTATTGTTGACCATTAACAAATGCATTAAAATGACTCAATTAAGTTGAATTGATTGAAGTGGCGGTAATAAACACATATATACGAGTATATATATATATATATGCTTTCAACTTACATACATACACACATACTCAAACACAGTCACAAAAGAATTGTTAGCTGCTACTGAGTGGCAGAAAATGGCAGAATGCCGCCGTGCAACTGTCACAATGATGACAGATCACGCACCAAGTACGATGAATATGCAATGCAACATGCAACATATGTACATACACAGTTAGATATGTATGTATGTACGCACATGCTTGGGAACATACTTACACACTTGTACGGGATTTATTCATATCGATCAACCTATATACACCTACCTACGCATACATACATATATACAGAGGAATTTTAGTGCCCAAACACACAAGAAAGAAACAAAGAGTCGTGCGCTTTAATTACAACTCATCAACATTTTTACAGTCCAACAAACATAAATTCTTTTCATTTTAGTATTTTTCTGCTTTCATTATTATTTTGGTGCATCAAATTGTGTGCGACATAAAAAATGTCAATAAAGTAATAGCATGATTTGTTCTTCCTCTTTTTCTTTGTATGTATGGTAGAGTGAAAATATACAAAAATATAATAATAAAAATGCGGCAAGCTTTTAATTTTAATTTAATTTCGGTTGGTTTTCTCTTTCTCTTCCAGTTGCAGCAATATTATATTGTTGTTACTCAGTGTAGATCAAGACAGGTTTCTGCTCTTTGTTGGAGGAAGAAAGTTATTAGTTTTTGATTTCCTTTTTTCACTTTTTTTATGATTTTTTTTTGAAGCTTCCATTAAAAGTGCTGTTATTTAAGGCACTACACTTTTAATTATCACTTAAGTGGCAAGTGCTTAAGTGGCAGGTGACCAGTCATAAAGCAGGCATATGCTTGTGAGTGCTTATATAAAAAGCTAAAAAAGCTATATATATGTATATATATATATATATATATATATATATGAGTTAGGAATGTGGTTAATGTAAGCACCGGCAGCTTGGCGATATATTGAAGCTTTAAAATTTGCATTCAGAAATTTCTAAAAAAAAACTTAGAAGAAAATCTCTATAAAAAATTCCAATATTTTTTAATTTTTTTGGGCCAGCGATTGTATTGCTCACTTCTCTTTAAAAAACTTAAAAATTAGTTTATCCTAGCATTAGATTATACAATATGAAATAAATGTATATATAATTTGCAAAAATAATAATTTATTTATTACAAGATTCCTTTTTTTTATTTTAATAAATGATTTAAAAAATCATAAATAATATTTTTCTTTATTTTTTGGATTTGGTGGCAACATTTTTTTTCTATTCAAATTTCATCGCTTGAAATATTTTAAAGTATTTATTAAAAAATTGGAAACACATCAAGACGCAAAACCACAAATTGGGGGAGGAGCTCGGCCGGAAATCGCTTAAGCGGTTACAAAGATAAAATATATATATATATATATAAAGATTTGTGTAAATTTATCAATAAAAATAATTTTTAATCATGTAGTCGAAAATATCAATAAAACAACGGAAATCGTCATCAAGCGAGCGCTGTTTCGATTGGCCAGGAGAGAAATATTGCACCAAAACTCATTTGGATTTTTTTTTGAAAAGGTTGGATACTCAGAGAAGCTCGAGAAACCCTCAAGGACGCAATTTCTGTCTGCTTACACTTACGAAGCTGTTGGTGAATGGTTTTGAATCATGGATCACTTAAAGCAACTTGATAAGAAAGAGCTAGTGTTGTAATGACAGTGAGCTGTCACAAACGATCTCCAAGTCAGAATTGACGGTCCGTAGGGCTTTGTTTTGTGTCTGGTATGATCGTCAGGGAAACATATAGCTCCTCGCCTATGGTTACACACCTAATACGGACCTCTACTGTCAGCGATTGGACTACCCAAAGGAAGAAATTGTCCAGAAGCGCTCAGCTTTGGCCAACAGCAGGGGCAATGACAACGACAGACCACACACATCGATCGTGGCTCGCCGGTAGCTCCAAGTTAGGAGGTCCTTACTACACATGGAATATATATGATTTTTGCTTAAATTAAGTTTAAGTTTTTAAAATTCTAGATTGATTCTTTGGTTTAACGAACTGATATACAACGCAAAATGGGTGTTTTTTTATATTTAAAGATCGATATTGAGGAAATTATATTCAAAATGAATTTTTACAAAATACTATAAATGAAATAATTTTTTTTTTAATTTTATATATATTTATTATGTGATTTTATAATATAATCACATACATTTTTTATTGATATTCTTTTTTTAAATCGTTATTAATTAAAATTTTTCTTTGAGGCTCAAATCGTTGTTGGATTCTAGAATTCTTCAAAATTTTGGAAAAAAATATTAATGCATTTTTTAAGAGTCTACTTTTTAAAAACAAAATAAAATATTCAGACATTGTCGAACGTTTTCATATCATATGGAATACGTATATTCTATTTAAATAATATAAAACTACTCACATTGATGCAACTAAAGTTTCCCACCACAGGGAAAGATAGTTCTGTTTAGTCTGATATTAATTAAATTTCTGCGACGAAAATCAGTCGGTCTTACCTGCAAAAAAATAGAGAGAAAATAATCAATAATTAAAGTGCATATTTTGTGCTACATTTATATTTTAATATTTAATTTATAATTATTTATTTATTTTTTTTTTTTGGTTATTAGATTATACGGAATCATTAGAAGGCGAGTTAAATATATACATTAGATCAACTACTTTGTTTCTCTATGACCCTATC